ACTAGTGCCAACACTGTCCTGATGGAAGTGTGTCTGACCATGGGGGAGAAGATCTCATCATAGTCAACCCCTTTTCTCTGTGAGTAACCCTTTGCTACTAGACGAGCCTTGAATTTTTCTCTCTCCTTTTCTGATACTGCTTCTTTCTTCTTATACACCCATTTGCACCCTATTGCTCTCTTCCCCTCGGGAAGTTCCACCAACTCCCACGTCTGGTTCTTATGCAGAGACTCCATCTCCTCCACCATAGCACCCATCCATCTACTTTTCTCTTGGCTTTGTATTGCCTCCTGAAAAGTTGTAGGATCCCCGCTACTAGTAATAAGCGCATAAGAAACCAAATCTTCAAAATCATACCTGGTAGGCGGCTTGATATTGTGTTTGGGCCTGTCTGTGGCTATACTATGATGCTGCTGATCACCTGAGATAGAACGCTCTACATGCTGAGCATCCTCTTCTCTATCATGATTCTCTAGCTCCACCTGCACCACATGGTCATTAGTGCTACAGTTTTCTGGTACTTGTTTCTCTTCTTCCTGAGTACGCTGCAACATGGTTTTTTCATCAAAAACCACATCTCTACTGATCACCATCTTGTTTGCCTTCGAATCCCAGAGCTTGAAGCCTTTCACTCCTTTCTGATATCCCAGAAAGATACACTGTCTAGACTTCGCATCAAGCTTCGACCTCTCCTCACTAGAAACATGTACATAGGCTGGACATCCAAACACTCTCAAACCAGAGTAGTCTACCTCACTGCCTGTCCACACCTCCTCTGATACTTTCCCATCTAGTGCTGCCCTCGGTGATCTGTTAATCAAGAAACATGCCATATTCAGTGCCTCTGTCCAGAAATTCTTTGCAAGCCCTGCATTCAACCTGAGACACCGAGCTTTCTCGGCTATCGTTCTGTTCATCCTTTCCGCTACACCATTTTGTTGTGGTGTCTTGTGGACTGTGAAGTGTCTCTTGATTCCATGCTGCTCACACAACTCCTGGAACTTTGAATCTGTGTACTCAGTACCATTATCTGACCTGAGGCATTTAATCTTTCTCCCTGTCTGGTTCTCTACTTCAACTTTCCACAGCTTGAACTTGGCAAACGCTTCTGACTTGTGCCACATGAAGTACACCCAGACCTTTCGTGAGTAATCATCAATGAAACTCACGAAATACATGTATCCTCCCCGTGATACTACGCTAACTGGTCCCAAACATCTGTATGGACATAGTCGAGAAACCCTTCTGTCTTGTGTGTGGCTGTCTTGAACTGCACCCTATTCTGTTTTTCAAGAACACAATATTTGCAAAAATTGAGCTTGCATGTCTTGACACCCTTCAATAGATTTTTCTTATGAAGCTCTATCATCCCACGCTCACTCATATGACCCAGCCGCATATGCCACAAGACTGTATTATCTGATTCAGACTCTACAGCAGCAACTCCACCTACAATTGTAGTACCCAGCAGTCTGTAAATGTTTCCTACTACTTTCTGTCCCTTCATCATTGTCAGCATGCCTTTACTCACTTTCATTACTCCACTTATAGATTTGTAACTATAACCATTACAATCCAAAGTGCCCAATGAAATCAAATTCTTCCTTAGATCCGGTACATGTCTAACATCACACAACGTTCTAACCATACCATCAAACATCTTAATTCTAATATTTCCTATTCCAACAACTTTGCAAGATGCATCATTACCCATCAGAACAGAACCAGAATTTACTGACCTGTAGGTGTCAAACCAATCTTTGTTGGGTGTCATGTGATAGGAACATGCTGAATCCATAATCCAAGAATCTGTTAAACGATCTGAACTAGACAAAACATAAATTATATCACCGTCACCACTCTCTGAATCTTCTTCTTCCACTACGTTTGCAGACTTTGATGCACCCTCTTTGTCCTCTTAATCCCCTTTCTTTTTCTCTGGACAGTCCCGTTTAAAGTGCCCCTTTTTCCCGCACTTGTAACATGAGACGGAGACGTCCTTCTTCTTCGTCCTCGACTTGGACCGGGCTTTATTGTTACCCGATCCATTCCAAGATTTGCTTCTTCCACGTTCCTGGTTACCTTTCACCACAAGCCCTTCACCTTGTGAAGCCTCATCACTGGCTTTCTTCCGCTGATGAAAACCTAACAGAGCACCTGTGACATCCTCCAACTCGAGGGTTTCTTTCCCCCACATCAGAGTCGTAACCAAATTCTCGTACGTAGGAGATGCCGGTAGGGAATTCAGCAACATCAGCGCCTTGTCTTCGTCTTCGAACTTCACATCAACTCGCTTCAGATCGCTGATGATCTGATTGAACAAGTTGATGTGTTGGGTCAAATCCGAGCCCTTTGACATCTTAAGACCATATAGTTTCTGCTTAAGATTGAGCTTGTTCGTCAACGACTTGGACATATATCGACTTTCCAATTTCAACCAAACTTCAGCCGGTGATTCCTCATCTATGACGTGATACATCACTTCATCAGTCAGACAAAGCCTAATAGTCGGCATAGCCTTCGCTTCCAATTCTTTCCAATCCATGTCGTCCATTCCTGCCGGTTGTTTTCTGTATAATGCCTTCACCATGCCCTGTTGCACTAACAGGTCCTTCACCCTCCTCTGCCATAATCCGAAATTCCCAGTTTCGTCGAACTTCATGATGTCGAATTTTGTAGAGGAAATCCCAAACATCGTAGTCTAGCTCTGATACCAGTTGTTGTGATCGTGCAACAATTATGGTGAATAGTAAGGAATCAAACAATTAAGAAAGCAGGAGAAAATAACACACAGAGATTTATGTGGTTCGGCAATGTGCTTACATCCACGAGAGCGAGTGGCCGTTCTTTTTTCATTATTAAAAGTAGGGTTACATCTTAAGCATTTATATAACCATAATATAGACGTATTTACAAAAATACCCCTGTACCGTACCGCGGGGGCCGCACCCCCAACTAATCAGCGTCCTCTTTATACAAATCCCGCTCCGGCATCTACCTCCTTTCCATTATGCACACAGCAAAATAAGCCGCACATACTCTAACATAAAAAACCTTGTTTTCTTTCTCCCTCTACTTACTGCATTTTATATTGCTTAATTGACGAGTGATGTGCATATTGATTTTGTGCATTATCAAAACCAAGAATAAAAATTAAAATAGCCTTTCTCAATGGAGAATTTGAAATAACTTGGAGATAGTTTTATGACAGAGAGAAAAATACATTAAATGGAGAAAACAATTGTATGCAGTTGAGAAAGACCATGCACTTACTCTCCCATAATATACATTGGAGAAGTATGTATATACATTAAATTGAGCTTATTGATCCAAAGTGAGAAAGAGAGAGAGATGATGTCGTAGAAACAAACCAAACTATTTTTATTTTTGTTGATTTGGTGGTCATGACTGTAAGAAGAGTTTGTTTACATCAATCTCTCAAAATAAGTAACACACAACTAACATAGATAACATTTACAGCTATAATAGACATTTCTAATATGTATCGTCACTATATATCAAATAAAACTTCCATGTTAGGGGGAAAAAGTAGGGCGTTTATTTAGCTTATTCTTTGAATATTTTCATCAAACCTACATGCTTACCTATCATGTCATAGATTCATTGCACATAGATCTTTCCAATATAATTTTTAATGGTCTGAATTCAAACTTCACACTATTTTTTAATCTAGGTTTAGAAAGCATTTTCATCAAGTACATAACTTAGGTGTCATTTATATGTGTCTGCTACATCGACTCCACCACTTTCCATCATTTATTTCCTTAAAAATTTGCTCTTTGTACTCAAATTTTAACAAAAAATAATACAAACCAACGATAAAAATACATAATGCTAGATCTTCAAACTTTGTATTCTAGCATGGTAACTTACATCCTTGTAGAAAATAGATAATAAGAAATATAGGCACTAATTGTCCCAATATGTGTTTTCAATAAGATTGTAATTGATGTTAAACAATAAACCATTTATCTGTCAATTTTGCAGGATTATGGAGTTTCAGTGGCTTTATTTCATTCTGAATACTTAGTAGACATCGAATTGGAACAGATTGGTCGAGTTTTGAAACTCAACTCCCTCAAAAATGGAGATGTATGGAAGGACTACGACATTTTGATCTTTAACACTTGGCTTTGGTGGTATCGCAGCGGAACTAAGCAACCGTACGACCAAGATGAACATGCATAAGAATTTTTTTTGATAAACAAAATATTTTTCCCCACAAATTTGTTCTTAGCAACACTCTGGTCTTTAAAATTTCAAGATTAAAAATTATTATTACCAGAACAACTAGAAATTTTTTTATGGGCCCAAAGCTAACTTCTATAATTTATTCTATAATTATTATTACCATGAGTTGCACTTATTTTTTTTCCTTATATTTTTAATCATATATGATCATGCCCTAAGTTTGTATCTTTATTTAATTGCAGATGGGACTATATTCAAGATGGTGACAAAATCTACAAGGACATGGACCGTATGTCTGCTTTTCGCAAAGGTCTAGTGACATGGGCGAAATGGGTGGATTTAATTATAAATCCTAAAAAAAAAGTTTTCTTCCAAGGAATATCTCCCTCGCATTACAAGTAAGATTTTATAATTTACATTGGCAATATATTAGATATTCGCATGTACACAAACACACACACACACACCCCTTTTATACAATGATAAACTACAGTAATGGACAATGTTACACAGACTTAAAAAACGGACTTGTTGATGTGGTTGTTATATTTTTCATTGATTTAACTATGAGTTTCAATATTTATTAAAATTCACTATTTATTCAATGACGGTGATTTATCAAATAAAGTTTTTAAATCAATTTTTTAATTCTATTTAGCATTTTCCATTACAATGTCAACGACTCATTTTGATTTCTATTCTTTTAATTGTATCACTTTCACCCTTAAAATTTTCAATATTTACTTTGAATGGTGCAATCTAAATGGTAAGTAATACTGCTAAAGAAAATGATCATGTATACAATCACATTATGTGCACGTGATTACTTTTGTCAGTGAGTTACGTTGCCGTTTTCAATTGGGCGATTGTAAAGTTAACTAGCTAGAAAAAAAAAAAAAACCCAATTAAATGAATGGGGACTAAAGTGAAAGGAGCACCTAGTCTATGTACACAATATATTTTGTGCCATATGTAAGCATATATATTATTAGTGGCAAGTTTCATGTAGCATGTCAGTCCATTTCATGTTTGGTGCTAAACTTGTACTCAATGTGTAAAATTCTCGAGTATAGTGAAGTTTGTTAAGTAGATGCATGTGATAGACAATCTTACCTCCATTTTGGAGAAGTTCATTCTCGGACTTGAACTAAACTCGTGACAGATGAACACTTGTCATCACTTCATACTCAATCTCTAAAATTATTGGTCAAATTACAATAATATTCTCTTCTTTTTTTTTTTTTGGGGGGGGGGGGGGTAAGTAAACAAATTCTATTAAAACCAAAAAGTTTATGTACAGAATGTTTCCAAAAGGGATGGTTGATCTTCTGAGCAGGAGAATAGAAGATCATCCATCCCAACAACAAAATGATTACAAATTCCAAAAGGATTGATATAAAAAAGGTGTACAGATCAGTAGCTTATCTGAGCTTCAAAGTTTGAGCAGTAGCTTGAACAAAAACCATCCAGTATAAATGGGATGGAGGAAAGCAACCAGCAACACCAGCAAGCTTAAGGATGTTGAAAAATGGTAGAATCAGCCTCAAGCATTAACAGCAACCAGCAATTACATATTTGCATTTTCCTTCCTTGAATGCCACAAAAAGCATGCTTGAGGGATTATTATTGTATTTTACCCTATATTGTTTACCATACTATTAGTTCTTGATGGCCCATTTTCTTTATATTTATTTGCTTTCATATAATTTACAGATTGATATGACCAGTTTCATATGCAATATATTAATTATAACACCTACACTAATGTTATGCATATTTTTGGTGCTATTGTTGCATACTTTGACATTGAATCAGTGGCATGGAATGGAATGAGGCAGGAGTGAGGAATTGCTTGAAAGAAACAGTGCCAATAAATGGATCAACTTACCCAAGTGGTTTGCCTGCTGCAGCAACTGTTGTGAAAGAAGTCTTAAGCAACGTTTCAAAGTCTGTCTATTTGCTTGACATAACTACTCTTTCACAACTGAGAAAAGATGCACATCCTGCTATTTACAATGGGTTAAGAGGCATGGACTGCACACATTGGTGTGTTGCTGGGCTTCCAGACACATGGAATCAACTTCTATCTGCAGCTCTTATATGAAAGAATGACCAAGAAAGTACAAACACATTTGGTGACCAACTCGAGCAAAATAAATCAAGAGAGCATTACGATACCGAATGTGATACCCTACCGAAATTTGTTGTGAACCATTGATCGTGTGTTGATTTGTTTGTGGCAATTGATTGTTAAAAAAAAAGGTAAAATATAAAAATTTTATATGTTTTTGGACTTAAAATATAAAACTATAAGAACATTCGATGCATGGGTAGTTTACAAACCTGAATACATTAAAGAGTTGCCACATATCGGAATCTAAAAAAGAGGCGGGAGATGATCAACCATGACCTTGTTTGAAAAAGAGAGTAACTGCCTGGGAGTTATAGGGCAATTAACTGCCAATTGATAGAGAAACTATCGAAGGGTGTGGTTATAAAAGGCGGACAAAAAGGAAGTGGAATGACAATTCAAATTCCTCACAAGATCCACGATCAGGGCATTTAGAAGTAGTGTTAAAGTTAGTTTTAGGAGTTAATGCTGTAATCAAAGACTGTTAATTCAGTCTCTCCATAACTGAAACTCATTTGATTGGATTAATTAAGGAATTCACTTTTATTAATTCATCATTTTGTGTGTTCATTGCTTTAAAATTTCTTCCAAAGAAGTCTTGAAATAAGGCAACTGAATCCATTCACAAACAATATCTATCGAATGAGAAATTCCGTCGATCAAAACAGATTTTAGAGCAACAATATGATATTTTTTAATTGGTGAAAAAGATGAGGCATGGTACTAAAGGTTGAAACTAAATAAATTAACATAAAAAATGATTGGATCTTATTATGTTGTTAGTCATCTGTTCATCTGATGATGAGCATTGTTTATGATATCTATTTGGCCAATAATCTTAGGGTGGGGGCTATTCTCACCACGTAAATATCACCCCTTCTATACCCACCCTATTTTAATTAAATTCACCCCTAGAATAACAAGTCCACCTTTTATTTTCTCATAACTAGGGTTTCATTTACTATCTACTCTCATACACCCTACACAAAAGAACTTTTTCAATATGAATTGATAAATAAGACTAGTACATCACTTTCTGTATCTGTCCATTATTCAAGCATAGCTTATGTCAAAATAACTTTCATTAGATTAACACGAGCAGAAACAACTTGTATTGCTATAGTGTGGGCAACAATATAATACAAAGTTTAGCAGAAACAACTTAACAACTCTGTCACCTCTATAACTATTCTATAAAAACAAAGTTCACATATAGTAAAAATACTCTTTCATCTCTTTGGGTCTTACATTGTTTTACATATAAATTATTCAATTGTAGATCATGGTTATATGAAATAGAGAAGTATTGCTCTATTTGAAATTTCTAGTCTTATCCTTGATCTCTAATACGTTCCTTCAAGCGAAGCATGTCTGGAACAAGGTTGAGCTTGTCTCGAAGTAGAAGAAAATGCCGAGTGGTTAGTGGTTTGGTGAAAACATCGACAATCTGACCCTTGGTCGAACGATAACAGACTTCAAGTTCTTTGGCAGCCACTTTTTCACAAACAAAGTGAAATGCAATTTCTATTTGTTTTATCCTATTATTAAAAAGTGGATTGATTGTAAGGTAAGTGGCATCAATGTTGTCACACCAAAGAATTGGGCATAGGGTCGGAGGAAGTTTAAGCTCTATGAAAAAAGAGTGTAACCATGACACTTTCGCAATGGCATCGGCAAAAGCATAGTATTCTGCTTCGATGTGAGAATGGACAACACATTTTTGTTTTCTAGAACACCACGAAATAAGGTTGGGCCCAAGAAATATAGCAAAATCGCCAGTGGACTTGCGATCATCTAGACATCTTGCCCAATCGGCGTCAGAGTAAGCCGAGATTCTGAAGTTGGTGGTATGACAGATTGGCAGGGATAAATGGAGAGTATCTTTGAGATACCGAAGAATTATCTTTGAAGTGGTCTAGTGACCAATAGAGGATTGATGCATATATTGACACACTGTATTCACAAAGAATGAAATGTCCGAACGGGTGATGGTGACATATTGCAAAGCTCCCACAATGCTCCGGCAAAGAAGAGGGTCATCAAACGAATCACCCATTGACTTGCATAATTTTTCGTTAATGGAACATGGATTGCTGAGAGGTTTTGCACCAGCCATGTTGCTTCTGGTCAAGAGATCCACAAGGTACTGTTGTTGAGTGAGTTGCAAGCCAGTTGGTGTGTGGAAAACCTCAATGCCAAGGAAGAAGTGCAAAGGACCCAATTCCTTGAGAGCGAATTTCGTGCCAAGGTGGACAATAAGTCGTTCAACATAAGTGATACAAGCGCCATGAGTCAAAATAAAAAGTGAGGGATCTGTGTGAGAGGCAATAAAACCAAGTTGAATGAGAAAAGGACTAAGGCATGGAAACTAAGCCTGTGGAACTTGTTTGAGGTCATACAACGACTTCCAAAGGCAATAAACATGGGAGGGATAACGATCATCCACAAAGCCAAGTGGCTGACACATAAAAACTTCTTCGTTGAAGGTGCCGTGAAGAAAAGCATTAATGATATCCAATTTTTGGAGTGGCCAGCTATGTCCACTAGCAAGACATAAGATGGTGCTAATGGTGACGGGTTTGATTATTGGACTAATGTCTCATTGTAATCGACACCTTCTTGTTGGTTGAACCCCTTGGCTACAAGGATAGCCTTATAATGTTCCACACTATCATCTGCCCATTTTTTGATGCAAATAATCCACTTGTAACAAACGATGTTAGCATTAGGTGGAGATTCTTGAAGAGTCAAGGTGTCTTTCATTTGAAGAGCATGGAATAATTCAAGCATAACAGCACATCAATGTGGAACTTTTGAGGTAATAGTGACAGATGTAGGTGTGGCTTTAGTTGAAATAGCCAAGTAACATTCTGGTAACGGGTAATGGGTGGCAAAATTCAGAATCTTAGGGTGCCAAGTACCATCTTGCTTATGAGTGACCATAGATGAATACGTTACGGTTGTTCAAAGGAAGCAATAGATGAGGGTAGGGCAATCACAGAAGATAAAAAATAGTAGTACTAGAATGACTTGAACTATGTGGTTGGGATTCAGGGCCCATAATAACAGTAGTAGGAGTGGATTAGACAGTAGGCATGCAAGGAGCTATGGTGGTAGAGCACGGATTTGGGGAAGAGGTATGTGAACAAGGAGCCCTTAACACAGAGGTGGTGGAAGTGGCATGAGATACAGTTAGACAAGTAAAGGAGATTGTTGAAAATCTGAGTCGGTATACAGAAAAGAAGACTAATCAAAAATAACATTTTGCTATACATAGAGGCGTTGGGTCTTGGGGTCAAAACATCGATAGCCATGGTGGTTGGGACTATATCCAAGGAACACACAATGAGTAGAACGATAGCCGAGCTTGTTGGATCGGTATAGACAAAGACACCGATAACAAACACATCCAGAAACCCGTGAAAATTCATAATTTGGAGGCATATTCCACAACTTTTCTAGAGGAGATAAATTTTGTAAGAGTGGAGTAGGCAGCCTATTAATTAGATAAGCTGTAGTTTCATAGGCAAAATATCAAAAACATTGAGGAATAAAAGCATGAGCCATCATTGGTAAGGCAGTGTCAACAATATGCCTGTGTTTGCTCTCCACCCCACCATTTTCTTGGTGTGTGTGTGGACAAAATAGTCGGTGTCCAATACCACAATTATTTGAACTGAATAAAGCAAGGTAAAACATCGCTTTTCTTTGCAATAGGATAAATCCATATGAACTTGCTAAAGGCATGCATGAAATGCACATAAAATTTATTTCCACCAAAAGTAGAAATCAGGGCTGGTCCCCAAACATCTGAATACACTAAAAATAGAGGTTCCTTCAATAGTATAAACTTTGATGGAAAGGGAAGAGCATGACTCTTCATTTTTTAACAAGCATAACACAATATATTGGTTTTATTGCTAGAGATTGATATGCCAATTTGCTGCAACACTTGATGAGTTGTTCGAAAAGCCGAATGGCCCAAACGTTCATGCCACTGAACAAGAGAATCGTGAAGTAGCGCCACCTTATTACCTACACCAACTCCTTTATTGATATGAATTTCATAGAGACCACTAGTGCTCGGTCCACGAAGAAAAACTTTCCCTGTATGCAGATCCTTGACACAAAAATAAGATGGATGAAATTCGAACCAACAATTATTATCTTTAGCAAATTTGTTCATAGACAATAAATTGCAATTAACAGATGACACCAACAAAATATCTTTCATAGCAAGCTCGGAAGATGAGGTTAAAAGGGAAGATGACCCAACATGACTAATGAGAAAACTTGAACCATTGCTGATCTTTACTGTGTCACCACCTTGATAAGTAGAAGAGATGCCTAGATTTGCAAGGTCTAGAGTGATATGATTTGTTGCACCAAAATCAAGATACCAATAGCCATTTGGTGGGGAAAACAACAATAGAGGAGAACCCTGTGCTGTAGATTGTGAAATATTCATATCTGAAGTATTCATCTAGAAGGCTTTGTTGAAGCGATTGTAACATTGTAATGCCGCAACGTTGTGATTTGGACCAAGGTGTACCAGATGCATTGGAAAAGTTCGTGAGCGGATGGGAATTGCCACGACTACAGTTTCTTCCCCGATTGCAAAGGCCATTGTTATGGCCCTGAGTGGACTGGTATCTGCATGGTTGTTGTTGTCCATGAGGTCCATCAAAGTAGCTTTTACATGGGCAAGATTAATAGAGATTTCAGTTGGAGAAGAGTTATGAGCGATGCGAAATTCTTTTGTCAAAAGGTAGCCCAATAAGTTAGTAAGCGAAACTAATTCAGCCCGTGTGCTGATTGTGAGACCCGATCATGCATTGCATACACATTAGCATAATTATGTGGACTAATTGCAATTATGTGAAATTATTTGTTAGATGGAATTTTGTGTATGAAAATAGTATTGGGTTGATTTTGAAATCACTTAAGAATTTGGGGGGAGATAAATATAATTA